AAATGCTGCAAAACAGTTCTGTTTTCATTTAGACGACGAACCTTCAAAAAGAACAAAAGTTAAAAGAAAAGAAAAGGAACATGCACTTACCTTCAACCAGAAAGGAAAGTCTACATAAAACCAAAAGCACGGCCAATAGTTGAGCACCTCGGAGCACCCTCATTTCACGGACAGATCGCAAACTGCAGTGACAAGAGTTCAGTCAAACTTATCTCATTTATATTTCTTAGGAATGTTTAATTCCAGTCTCCGGAATTGACAAAAGACATCTCTTTATCTTTGTTTTTCCTGATGACGATTTTGAGAAGATTCAGCTTTTTATCTGAGAATAAACAAAGTCTGCTTTGAAGTTGCATATCGTAAGCTAAATTATCTCGAAGTTTGGATAAGAGTTTGAGCAGTCTTGTTTTGTGAAATAGTAATGCATGTGGTGTATTTAATTTTGGAAAATTAAGAAAGAAGTGCTGATTTTCTATGTGTTACAAGGCTAACACAAGCATGAGTGCCAGCACGTTCTTTTACTAGTTCAGATTTACATTACGTGACCAACATGCTCCGGTTTAGCGTGGTAAACTATTAAGCCGCGTACGAAGGTTTCAATGCCAAAGTATTTTTAAAAACTTGTAGTGAGTTTCGACTGCCCATTATTTCTATCCGAATGTTACACTTGCTTGCTTATAACCTAACCCCTCGACTCTACATTTTACTTGTACATACGTTGTGGTTCAATTGGTACATGTATTTACCTTAATTTGTTCTACTGCATGTTATTATATGATAATGTATATGGAACAAAGGAAGATACCAAATTGTACCAAGGGTAATGTTGAACCACAACATATACATTGTATTTTTAGAATCAGTGTGCCTGGAACTCGTCCATGCACCGATATCCATATGGCATTTCCAAAAAGGAAACAAGTTAACGAGATTAACCTGAGGCCGTTAGCTTCAATGTTATTTTTTCATCACAGAGCACTTCCGGTTCTGATCAGAAAGTTTTCAACGAGCTTTCCTTCAAGAAATTACTCTCCGATATTAACAGATATTATCTTTAGACTTGTTCCGGAAAAACGTCTTAGGAAAAAAAAAATTATGATTTCGAAAAACGCAGTAAAGGTTGGGAAATTAAACTGCCAGCACTTGAATTCTCAGAAATTGAACGAAATTGTTCATTATCAAGAGAGGATTAAGAGGTAAAAGAGATAATCCCCATTTTGGCCTTATCACCATTGTAATCCATCTAAAGATATTTTAGATCAATGCCAGTTTCCATGAGGGTCTAGAAATAGCCAATCCCGTGAGGCAGATTTTGTTCGCGTAGACAGTCCAAGTGGTTTTACACTCATGTCATCTTTTACGACAACATCCAACCAATGTGCGTAGTGACATCACCGCCGAAGGACTGGATAACATTTCTAAAAGTAACTCGAGAGGGATAACCTAAGGACTCTAGCTTTGGTCTGGGACATCAACTGTGTTAACCTTCATCATCATGTATTTCATTCTTCAGGGGGGTTCTGACTACAATGTACTTTTTCTTAAAAACACAGATGCTCCGACATCTAAAGAAAATATTGCATTTAGTTTTGAAGAGTCTGGGAGAATTCACCGTTTTGTCGTATCAACAGTTTAAAAAATAGACTGTATTGATTTTTTTTTTTTGTAACGACAGTTTACTTCATAGTACAGACAATATTCGTACAAGCAAATATCTCACCTATAAAAACTTAAGCATAGGGCTTTACTTAAATGACTCCTTTGGTCTTGTTTGAAATTATTTCGTACTCTGGCTGTAAGGGAGTTTTTGAAAAAGTGCCCAAAATTTGGTCAATTTTAATCTCACGGGACCCCGGGCCATGGGGCTGAAATGCAGAACTCGGGTAGAAAACGATCAATGAAGCTAAAACTTTGGCATTTTACACGAGTCTGCATAAGGACTTTATGATCGCATGTGAGTGGAGTTTTAGGAAAATCAGTCAGTCGACCCCAATTTCCAAGTCTGCTCCGATCTCTCAGGCAGAGGCTCTTTAAGACCGAGTTTACCAGAAGACCAGGCAGGGGTGATACATGCCATCTCTCCTTTTTGGATGAAACTTTGCCAGATTGAAGGTACTACCC